TCTGCCTCCCAAGTGCTGGGATTAAAGGCGTGTGCCACCACGCCTGGCTGTCTTATATATATTTTTTAACTCACCTAGCAGTTACTATGTGCAAATCTCCATCCTAAACTTTGCAAATGTAAAGCCGTTTGCTCTTCAAATTATGTAAGTAGATACGAAAAGCTGCCTGAGACTCAAGCCAACAGAGTGTAGAAGGGACAAGGACCCTTCATCTGATACCTGCATTCACTCGGGCATAGTTAGCAGCATCTCTCCACTTTCCAGTTCCAAGCATGTAGTACTGCTATGTACCCACAGAGGCACAGTATACATACAACATGAGGGGAGGAGAATCTTTGATTGGGCTGTGAGTGCCTTGCTTTGTGTAAGCTAATTGGAATTAGGGTTCTGTCACTGATAATAGTGACAGAATACCTTAGTTTCCTCAGCAGACATAACCAGGATAAGGTAACTATGGGTTTAATATAAAGCCTACCCAAAATAGGAAGCCTGACATGAAGTGGAAGGAAGAAAGGTCTGCCTATCTTATTGGTACAATCACACATGGTGTTATATACCTGTTCTCAGCTACAGAAACACCTTTAGCTAGGGAAAGAGGTCAGTTTCCCTCCACCTCTCCCCCAGTGGCATGAACTACGCAGCTACTCTGTGCCTGAGCTAACAGGTTTTACTCTTCATTCCAGTACTAAGAACTGGGGCTCACCTTACAACTGGAGGTAAAAAAAGCTGAAGGAACCCCCAAATCTCACCTGTAAGTCTTTACCAGCTTGTCGGCATATGTACACAAGGACAAGTCCTCAAGGATCTGGTTCACACAGGTGCTGATATGGCACTCAGGGATGCCCCGGATACGTGCATACATGGCCAGCAGCTCTCTTCCAGTCATGAAGTTCAGCAGGGCATCAAACTCAGGACAGTAACCAATCCACTGCCGCACCTGAGTTAGAACACAGCCCCAAGAGGGAGGTGCATCAGAGTGAAACCTCTTCTGGCTAGGCTTACCATACCCCCAACTCAGCAATGCCTGGACCCTCCCTTGGCCTTGCCTCCTAGTTCATCTTTTGTCTGCCATGTAAACAAACATACAACATGAGGGAGCCCTATGTGGGATGATAATAATGCTGGGGAGTCTTGGGTCGTGGCCTTAGTTGCTGGTGTCTGTAAACAGGCTGCTTCTGCAGGATGGGTAAAGTGTTGCGTGGTTCTTTTTTCCTGCCTGCATGGCCTAAAACAAAAGTACCAAGTACCTCCCTACTTTGGGAGTCCAGAGGAAAGATTTGATTTTCCTCTTTCCTCTCTTAAAAATTATTATTATTATTATTATTATTATTATTATTATTATTGTGTATATGATGAAGGGGGGATGGGCACATGTATGGAGATGAGAGGACAACTTTGTGAAATTGGTTCTTTCCTTTTACCTTTAGATGTGTTTGGGAGATTGAATATAGGTTGCCAGGCTTTGGGGCAAGCACTTTTACCCACTGAGCCATCTTGCTGGCCCTTATTTTTCCTCTTTTGAAATATTTCCTATTAGACATGTAATCTATAAATAGATTTTGTGGAGAGATGACTCAGTGGTTAACAGCACTGGCCGCTCTTGCGAGGACCTGGGTTCAGTTTCCAGCACCCACATGGAGGCTAACAATGGTTTGTAACTCTAGATCCAGGGGATCCGACACCCTCTTCTGACCTGCGAGGGCATGACATGACACAGGTGCGTTTACATACATGCAGGTAATACACTCATACACATAAAATAAAAACAAATTTTAAAAAATATTTCATTTATTATTTTTATTTTATGTGTATGTATGTATTGCTTGCATGTAGGTAAGTACATCCATGTCGTGCAATGCTCATGAGGACAGAAGAGACTGTTGGATCCCCTGGAACTGGAGTTATGGATAGTTGTTAGTTGACATGTGGGTTCTGGGATTCAAACCCGGGTCTTCTGCAAGAACAGTCAGTGTTCTTATCTACTGAGCCATCTCCAGCCTCTAAATAACAAATTTTTGGGGGGAATCTTTTTTGAGACAGGGTCTCCTTGTAGCCTCAGCTGTCCTGGAACTATGTGGACCAGGCTGGCCTCGAACTCACAGAGATCTGCCTGCCTCTGCCTCCCAAGTGCTGGGATTGAAGGCGTGCACCACCACACCCAGCTCAAATAACAAATTTAAAAAAAATAAAAAATAAATAGATTTTGTGAAGTGTTTATATAAAAGCTACTGAAATCTCTGACCCTTATGTCTTCTTGTGTTAACACAGGGTCCTACACAGACATATACTCCCAGCACAGGATTGTTTGTATACTTTTGCCAAATGGCATTTTACTATATGTACCATTGCTCAGTGTGCAGTATAACTGAACATTACATTTCAAAGGTCTTCCTATATCAGCACATAAAGACCTTTTCCTACTCAGTTTAACTGCTACTCATCCAAAGAAGGGTTTTTCAAAATTTATTTTTTTAATATTTTTTTTTTGTTTTTTAGAAGAAGCATTTCATTACAGCTTTAAGATACTCAATAACAATTTCCAGAGCAAAGATACATCTCTTTCAAAAGTGGCTATAAAATTTTTAGGTTCACAGTTGAATTAATACAGTTTTACAATATTGAGCTCAGTATAAACCCTGTAAGACATAAAATTGAATGAGTTTTTAACCTTTAAAAAAGATCTCCATTTCATTTTAAAATATAGTTTCTTACAGAAAGACTCATTGCTTTTGCTAATAACACTTAGATGTTAGCACATGCGTCTCTACTCTATATGTATCTGATTATTACTAGTCATGATCAGTTGCACTCAGATCCTTGGCACCTGTGTATGGATATAAAGTCATCGGGTAGATTTCAATGGTAATGTTTATCATCTCTACTACTTAACAATGACATAAATTTTATGCTTCCTCCTTAAATATAACTCATTTTTAAAATTTGTTGATTTTTTTCTGTGTGTATATCACACAGAACATCCCAAACAACCTTATTCATCTATATACCCACTTCCCAGATGGCACCCTCCCATAGCCTCCCCCCCAAGCCCTTTTTCTCTGTCCTCTCTGCTACTGTCTGCTGTGGTGTTGGCACCCCTAGCCGTTCCCCAGTACTTGTCCTTCCAGTGAATCTAGTCAGCCTATCTAGAAGTCTCCTTTTGTTTTAGGAAGGTCAGCTGTTCCTCATCTAGCAGCAATCAGTTTTCAATATTCCTTCAGATAAGATTGGGGTCTGCTGTTCATTTTCCCAGTTTTATGTTGTGTTACTATCTGGGAGTCACTTGGGCCACCCTGGCCAACAACTCAGAAGAAGGTATCTCCTATCTAGCATTGTTTCTTGTTATATAGCCTTTAGCAAAACATGTGGACTCTTAAAAAATTATATTGGCTCCTTTAATCTTTGGTTATACTTACCTTTTTGGGTGTTTAAGGCCATACAGTTGGCCCAGAAAAACCAATTTATTTTTACTCTTAAGGCTGCTGTTTGAGGATCTGTTTCTCAGGGGTAACATAGGCTTGGGAGGAGGCCTGGCTCCTTTCTTTTACCAGTTCAGTCTATGTGAAGATAAGTCAAAGGTCCTACTCAACCATAGCTGGCTTTGCTTGGAAGCATAGAGGAAATGATTCCTCTGTGTTGACCCTCCTTTTTGTAGACTGGACACTGGTTAAAGTCCATCTTTTGGGGTCTCCACGGCCTCCTTAATCAAGAGGACAGGTGACTCACCACAGTTACAGGACATTTTGAAAGATGCTTATAGTCCCCTGGCACTAGTCGACTAGGAGGGCAAGGAGCTAAAACTGTCATTTCTGTCCCTCTGTCCAAATTAGTATAGGCCTCAAAGTATATCTGTTAAACATCCAAGACGGTTAGTTCTACCAGTTTGGTACTTTTAATTACCATGTGCCATGCAGATAAAGCTTGGGCAAAGACCAATTGTTCTCAGATAAACCTTGCCTAGACATATATTTCTTGATCTGGTATGTATAATTTGTCTGTAGGTTGTTGGACTATGGTTCCCTCTGGTTGTTAAAAGTAGCTAGGCATTATTTATCTCTCACATTGTCTAACCCTTCAATCATGGTTTCAACAAATAAGGTGCCCCCATTTTATAAAAATAGAAACTGTTTCATAAAATAGAAAGGGAAGGACCACTACCAAACTCATTCTATAATGTCAATATTATCCTGATATCCAAACAGGATAGATAAGGGCATAACAAAGAAAACTACCAATTTCCCTGATGAACACAAATTAAAAAATTCTCAGGCTGGGTGTGGTGGTGCATGCCTTTAATGCCAGCACTCAGGAGATAGAGGCAGGCAGATCTCTGTTCAAGGCCAGCCTGGTCTACATAGTGAGTTCCAGGCCAGCTGGGGCTATAGGGAGACCCTGTCTCAAAAAGACCGAAAAAAAAAATTCTCAATAAAATTCCTTTAAATCTTGCAAGTCAAGAACACATTGAGAAGACTGTATACCATGGATGCAAAGTTGTTTGACACATACTAATCAGTGTCAGCATATAAATAAATCTACAGAAACCACATAATCACCTCAATGCAGAAAAGACCTTTGATAAAGTTTAACATCCCTTTATGACAAATCTCTGAAGGAATTAGGGACAGAAGGAACATACCTCAACATAATAAAAGCTTTATATGACAAACCTATAGACAACATAATAATAAATGTGATAAAACTGAAATTATTTTCTCTAAAATATATGCAACAAGACAAAGGTGTCCACTCTCCTCCCCATTAAATATGGTGCTCAAAGTTTTGGACAGAGCGATAAAACAAAAGAAAGAAATAGAGATAAAAATAGGAAAGGAAGAAGTCAAATTATCTTTCCTTGCAGATGATATAATCCTATATTTAAAAGATTCTAAAGACTCCAGACCTGATACTTTCAACAAAGTCAACAAAATCAGCATAAAAATATTTGCAGCTCTTCTATATACAAAAAAAAAAACTTGCTGAGAAAGAACCCCTGGGGGTGCGAGGATTCCATTTGTTGTTGTTGTTGTTGTATTTTTGAGACAGGGTCTCCCTGTAGCTCCAGCTGACCTGGAACTCACTATGTAGACCAGGCAGGCCTCAAACTCACAGGAAGCTGCTGGCCTCTGCCTCCCGCGTGCTGGGATCAAAGGCGTGCACCACCACGCCTGGCTCCCATTTGCAATATATATAATTTTTTTTTGGCTTTTTGAGATGGGGGTCTCCCTGTAGCCCCAGCTGTCCTGGAACTCACTATGTAGACCAGGCTGGCCTCCAACTCACAAAGATCCTCCTGCCTCTGCCTCCCAAGTGCTGGATTAAAGGCATGTGCCACCACACCCGGCCCCATTTGCAATATTTTAAGAAAACCAAAAATACTTAGGAGGAAACCTAACCGGGGATATGAAATACTTCTACAATGAAAATTTAAGACAATGAAGAAATTGAAGATCTCATATTCATAGATAGGCAGAATTAACTACGAAAATGGCATATTACAAAAAAGCAATCTACAGATTTAGTTCAATTCCTTTCAAAATCCCAATACGGTACTAGAAAACACAATCTTAAAATGCATATGGAAACACAAAAAACCCTAAACACCTAAAGGAATCCTTAGCAGGAAGGGCAATGCTAGAGGTAACACAAACCTCATTTCAAATAATATTACAGAGCCATAGTGACAAAATTGCACAAAATATACATGTAGATCAACAGACTACAATAAAGGACTCACAAATAAACTGACATAACTATAGTCACCTGATTTTTGACAACACTGTCAAAAAATACATTGGCAAAAAAGACAGCCTCTTTAACAAACGGTGCTGGGAAAACAGGATTTCCATATATAAGGATGGAACTAGATCCAAATATCTCACCCTATACAAATATCATTCAAGATGGATCAAAGACCTTGTTATAAGACCTGAAACTTTGAAA